CGCCGCGTTTGTAGGTGCCTTTGCCTCTGCCACTGCCACAGGTCCTTTCGGGGGCATTGCATTTTCTGCCACTTCTGGTGGTTGGGGTGCTTCTGCAACTGCTTCAGCTGGAGCTGGAGTCTGTTCCTGGTCACCCAAGCTTCTACATGGTCTCAACCTCTTCAACTTCTTCTCATTGGCATTTGTGTTGGCAAGAGCAGATGCCTGACCCTGAGCGGCCTGAGCCTCCACTGTCAATGGCACTGGATGGGCCTCATGCGAAGACATTTGGCAGTCGTCCTCCTCTTCCTCCTCTTCCTTCATTAAAGCTTGTGACAACATCGAAGGAACCAAACTGACATCTTGGCTCACTTCAGGCATAGCTTTCAGCAGCAGTTCCAAGTAGCCCTTGACACGCACCTGACAGTGGTGGTGAGATTCAAAGATGATTGATTGATTGATTGATTGAATTCTTGATTGAATACTGGAACATACAGTGTGTATATGTTTAGCTAGACTGTCACTGTCACTGTCACTCACTGACACTTACAGTATTGCAACAAAATAGTTTTACCATAGCCTTGCCTGGTCTGCCACCATCCTAAGCGCTGCATTGCTCTCATCAGGAACGTGTCGACCAAGAATCCTGCAGGGCACTGGGCACCGGGTCACCGGGTCGAGGTATTGGGATTCGAATTCGGGGATCACACAAAAACAAAGTACAACAGACATATAACGTTCACAGACTCAGACAGAGGTGACTGGTGACAAGTTCACAGGACACAAAGTAAACACAACAAACACCAGAGCCTGATCGAAACATCCATATCATTGATAGACTTTTCTATCATGATTGCTCCAGCTGGCACATGAAGTACATCACCTGTGCGAAGAACTGCTGCTCCAAAGCCCGGCATCAACATCTGCTCTGGAATGTTCTTTGCTTCAATCTCACCCAGGAGGGCCCGAATCTCCTGCATGCTCTTGGTCTTCCATGCTCGGGCTGCTTCTAAGGCAGAGCAGATCACAGCCAACTTTGATCCGTTTACCTGTCGTTCCGTTCGGTCCGGCCCGGCCCCCCCTGCCCCCACTGACTAATCGACTGACACACAAAACATCAAAACATCACAAAGCAATCTTGAATACATAGATGAAAATAATGCACCCACACATATTGACGTTTCTCCCAGGCCTGCAATCTCAGTGATGGAAGAGCCTGCATGTCAATTCCAGAATAGGTATGGTGTTCTGGTGATCCGCCAAGCCAAACTCCATTGAAGGAAGCCAAATGCTTCTCACCATCATCCATCTCTTTGCTGGCTTCTGCCAATGCGCTGTCCTCCGTTGACAAAATTGGAACGTCAACCTTACGTGCTGCCACAGTTTGCCTGACCATGTTTGAGAGCTTAAAAACTTTCCTTGTGTATAAATCTCTTTCTGAAATTGAAGAGAGACCCTGACCCTGTCTGTCCTCCACTAAGCATAGGCTGTCCCAGTACTGCGGAAGGACATTGAACAGTACCTCCTTGGTCTTTTGGTAAAGTTCCTCATGGCCCAAAAAATGCCAACTTTCGCTTGTCGATCGCGTCGCTCTTGACTTGAGCAATCTCCTCCTTAAAATGCTGCAAGGCGGGATCCAAGACTTTCTGGCACTGAGCGTTCTCAACAATTGCCTTAAGAACAGCTCTGCCCTTGCGTACCTCAGTGTCAGAGGTAGTCCATTGAACTTGGTCATGATGGTCATGAGACTAATCCAAGAAAGAAAAAAATATTTAATTGTCCGATTGTCACTGTCGCGCACCAATCACCAACAACTACAACCTATCATGCCAATCCAATCGACATCCAACCATTCAACCAATCAACATATGTTGACTCCAACTCCAAGCAATTCAAATATCCAGCACTTTGGCAACACATAAAAAAACATAATCAGCCTCATCAAAACAAGACACCACCAAGGGATAGTCTGCTGTCAATTCCCCTTTCTCTGTGTCATCTTTAGTGATCACTGTAATTGGGCGGGTCTCAATGATGTGCTTGAAGTGGCGCAATGCTTTTGGATCGGATTCCTGGTCCACCACCTTCTGAAAGTTCACCCGTCCAATCCTGAACCAGGGTTGGCACTCTCTATGCGTTAGAATCATTACTGTAGATGAAAACCTTAAACCATGCAGCATGCACCATATCTTGACTAAAGCTATGGCTATGGTGAAGTTAGTTAAGTCAAGCAACAGTGTTCCCAACTTTTTTATCACCAGAAGCGGAGGCTGCTCTGTTGGCGATTGCTTCTCGAGCTTTGTCCACTGCCTTTCAGCCACGGACCGTCACGGACACACGGAGTCCAGTCAAGGAGTCACGAGTCTCACGAGTACTTCCAAGTATCAGATACTTGATACTATAATACTATACTGGCTGGGCGAACACAAAAAATAAACTATATTAACATATACATTTTGACAGTGACAGTCAGTCTCAGAGTCACTCAGTCAACTGTCAACTGTCAACTGAGTCAACTGGATGCAGAAACTAACAAAGTAGAATATAGCGGGCCGGGCTAGGGGACCTGGGGACCGGGGACCTTGAAAGACAGATAACAAATCTTGGCAACCTAAATCGAATCTTTGTCACCTATTTACTATTCAATTGTCAATTCCAGGGCACCTTGATCATGGAGATCATCTCACGGACACACTTCCTGATGGTGGCGGCGATCATCTTGGTGTCCTTTGCTTTGTCACTGATCTCCTTGAAAGTGGATTGGAACTCACTTTTCGTCTGGCAGCTATCAAACAAGTCGGTCCGATACAGGAAGCTGCACGTGACCGCTTTCGGCGCGTACTCCATCATGACCGGATCTTCCTCCAAAAGTCCTTCAACAGGAACACATGTCCACGAAATTTCATGCATTGGTTTGGGAACGAACTGGCAATTAAAGCCTGGAATTCTGTTTGTCTGTTAATGGAGATGAAATCGAAATTGAACTAATGGCTCAGCCGCCAAGATGCTGCTCAACTCCGACTGCTCTTTGGTGGCCAGCTCAACAAAGGACTCCGACGATGGGTCAATCTCATCTCCTGCTGTGCCTCCAGTTCCAGGAAGCTTGGCTGTGCCTTGGACTGCTGCTGAAACCTTCATCCTTGAATCCAAAGCATAGAAGGCCTTGATGATTCCGGCTTGGTCTCCAAGCTGCAGGCTCTTGTCTGACAAGATCCGGTCCTGCCAATAGAGAGAACACTGCATGGAGATGATTAAAGCAAGATGAAGTAGTTTCTAGGATATATTATTTAGTTTCAAAGTGACATAGTTTCTGAACCCCCCTGGGACACACTCACCATTAAAGAGCCCAAAGAACGTCCCAATATCTACTACTCATATTATATTCTGTTGATTTCTTTTGCCACAAGGTCCTCTGTCACACCCTTATTCTTCAGCTCCTCAAACTTGTTGTACAAATCTGCATTGTTAGCTTGGAAGTCATCTGCTGCTTGTTGCGCCTGTTGGTGCGCTGTGATGCAAAATTGACGCTGGCTTGAAAGCTTGGTCGTGAACTGGCTACGTGTCAGGGCCACATCGATAAGGCGTTCAGGTCGTCCAGTTTTCGTTTTCTTATTTTTAGCTCTATGAGCAGCAGTGCCGGGACTTCCAGCAGTGACAAAGTTGTCTTCGCTCAACTCCATCACCAACAGCGACGGGGTGGTGTAAAACTCATCGTCCAAAGACATGCTCACCTGGAGTGGTCAAAAACATTAACACCATAATCAGAAATGTGAAACAGTGAAATGTGAAACGTAAAAAAATGCCACTAACTGTCTGTCAACACACTCTGTCATGAAACAAAGCAACTTAAACTATGTATATGTCCAGTCCAGTGGCAAAGTTCTTCACTCGCTTGTTGATGCTTTGCACAACGGCGCTAGTAGGTTTGTCCGAAACAAACTGCTTGGTGCCACTCTTGGAGTCCTGGATGTCCTCATACTTCTCTCGCTTCACTCCACCAACACGTACCCACACGGCATCTTTGGATTCAATCTTGCCCGTCTTTTTGTCTTCCAATGTCAACTTGTCAGCAAGCTGAGGGTCTTGAATGTCTCCTTACAGTAGGTACTAGCAACAGACAGTAAGTACGTGACCCGACTGCGGCTGCGACTGATTCCAACAATTCCAATTCCGATTCCGGATTTGATTCCAACGATTCCCAACTCAGAAACTTCAACAGACATGAATCAAACTAACAGTCATATCAAGTTCAATCTCCAGAAAAGTAGCGGTTCCAGGCATCCAGTACTTGCTTCGCATCCAGCCGCTCCTCTGGTGGAACCTTTGTCATGTAGTACTCCTTAGCTCATAGCTCGCCCTGATCTGAAATTTGAAAGTCTGAAAGGAAAGCTAGTTACAGTGCACTATAGTGAGGTATCACGTTGTGTGTGTGTCCAGTCGCTGCATGTTATTTTTTTCCAGTAGCGGACTCGGACACTGACTGACACGTAACACATCTCTATGTCTACGCTACGCCCAAAGTAGGAATTCAAATCTGTCCGCCACTTTGCCATTCTGGCATTCTGGCATGCTGGGCCGCTGCTGGGTAGGGCATGCCATTGGTGAATTGGACAAAAAAGGTGGTCCTATGGCAGGTCCTATGGCACCTTCAGTATTGGATTCGGCTGCGTTTGGAATCTTTGTCTGGTCCATCTGGATCTTGCATTCGGCGCTTGGCTTCCATAGCTTCCCGGGTGGCAGAGATGATATGCCGAAAGTTGTAAAAGCTCTTTGCCTCCATATAGCAGCCTGAACCTGGAAATGACATTGCAATGACATGACATGACATGAACATGAACATCATCATGACATGACATGACTGACTCAACAATTAAAGGTCGTTGAACTTTAAACAACCATTGAAGTGAAACCATATGCTTACTATACCTCTACTGCTGGCTTTTGTAGTGCCATACATAATGTGAGTGACAAACCAAGTACCGTCCGTCCGTCCGTCCCATACAATCAACCAATCAAGGCACTTTGCAATGCGATCTCCATTGCACGTAGTGCTTGCACATTCCTGCCATGCACAACCAAATCTGTGCTCTGCAAGTAGGTCAGCAGCAACGCTGAAAAGCTCACAGGTCCGTCGCCACTGGCCGATGCCGATCCCTTGCCATCCGAGGGTTTACCTTGGCCCTTGCCATTGTAGCCGTAGCCTGTGATTGCTCCGCCGCCGGGATTCTCAGGAATGGACGTGAAGCCAACATTGTAGTATTCCCAGTCGTCCACGCTGAAGTAGTCTGGTGGGAAACTCTCGCCAAAGACTGTCAACACATCCCTTGTTGGAGCCATACCAACTGCAATAATGATGGTCAACAGCTTCTCATAGATGTTCAAAAGAAGACCCCTGACAGGGAACCGGGAACACCATTTATTTATATATATAATAATAACTATACTATATATGTATAAATATGTATACAATGATAACTATATTACATATGTATAAATATGTATAATACAATACAGTATTAGTATAGTTATAGTTATATAGTTATATATATACATACAAAGAACATTAAACCTTGAATCTCCTCAGCTTGGGACCAGCGTTATTGTGCACTGCGAGCCTGAACTGCCTGAATGGCAGAGGAATCGAGAATCTGCCACCTCCAGGTTGCACCGGGCGCCAGCCCCGGGACCGGGCCCGGGCCGGCCCCCACACTTCTCAAAATGACAAACATATGGTACATGTTGTGTCACGTTGAAAATTAACATGTGTATATAAAGAAAGTAAAACATTTAGTTCAAGGAACAATGTATTCGAATACTGAATACTTCATCAAAAAATATGAGCCAAGCCTGGTTCCTTCAAGCTGTCCATGAGTTGGCCCAAGTGCTTCAGCGAAGCGTAAGCATTCACTACACATGCCATCTGTTGTTCAGGTTCACCCATAGACTCCAGCTCCACCTCCATCACGTTGAAGTAGGCTCGGGCAGCTCGCATGCGCCACACCGGCCATCCCACCAACGACCCGGCCATCCCACTATTCTATTCAAATCTATTCATATCTTATCCATTCACCTGACCTATCCATTCGCCATTCAGATCCATTCATATTGTGTTTTGCCACAAAGGTCCTCCTTATCCTTCACCTTTGAAGCTTTGAGCAAGCAAGCAAGGAGCAATATTACCAAGATTATGATGTTGCCACAGTGCAATTAACCTCATTCATGCATTGCACACGGATGTGATGTGATCTGAAGTCTGATGTGATGTGAGGGTGTTACAGTGTTCCAGGAAAAAAACACATGTAAAAAGAACAATAAACAGTCAGCAGTTCAGCTGTCAACAGTGTCTGTCTGCACCACTGTCACTGTCTGTCTGTCGGACACCTTCAAAACAAAAGCCAAGTGTCTTTGTACCATGGCCAGGTCACCAGCTCGTAGTTCGCGGACTGTTTCGCGCCCCGGACCTCCTTGTGGGATTCCTTGTAGGTGGCCAAGTTAAAGGCTGGGTTCTTCAGGTAACCAGACGCTGAGCTCTTGGAGTTCGATGCATCGGCAAGTATTGTCCTAGGGCCGTTGGACAGGGATCAATTATGGCACCACTCTATACTGATGGCACAGCAAAACCCAAGTCCAAGTGTTGTGGCCTGTTATCACCGGGACCGCCTTACTTACTGCTTGCTTGCTTGCTTGCTTACTTACCTACTACCTACCACCTATTTGATATCTAGTAAATACTTCATAGTTGGCAGTGCCACTGAGCAAATAATTCAGGCTGAGCTTCCTATACTGGTCTGGATCAGTGATCCTCAAACCAATGAACCAAGCTCTGATCTCCGGGTTGCTGGACTTCCTCAGAACGGATCTATAGTCCGAGGAGCATCCAAAGCAGTGTCCTTCCAATCGAAACTTCTTGCAGTTTTCCGCTGTCACCGTAAACTCTTTGTGGCACACTGCAGTGCCTGGGCAGTGCACTGGGTCACTGGGCAGGCAGGCACGTGTGCGTCGTGTCTGCGGGAATTTTCAATTATATAATATATATATGGTTATTTTGTCCTTATCACCGTCTAATTAGTCACTATCATCATCCATCCGCATCCTAATCCTCATTCCTCATCGACATGATCATCAACTTTGGATTGACGTTGACGGTCGACCGTGACCAGTGACGGTCACGGTCACGGGTTGACAACAAAGCAAACAGTTAATCAATTCTGCTCAGCCACATTCAAGGGTCTGTCCAACAATGCCCTCTGAGATTTCCTTTGGCTCTTCAACTTTCGAACTCCGAGGTAGAGTCGGCATAGCGTATTGTCTGGCCGGCGGCAGTGACACAGCTGTCACTACTGGGTCACTGGCGGGTCCTGTCGCCCAATGGAAATGAAATGCCATGACATGTATTAATGAACTTCTCCTGTTTGCCTTTTGCCTTTTTTTGATTGTCACTGATAACATTGTATGCCATGACATTGTATGCCTTCTCCTGTCACCTGTTTGCCATTGACATAACTAGATAACACGACAGGTTCATTCCTTTCACAGCGGCAGCGGCAGCGGTAGTGTAAGTTGTGATCCCAAACTTGCCAAACAGTGAGTTCCAAATTCCAAAGTTCCAAGTTACAATTGGATTTGATTTGATGGATGATTGATGATTGATAGTATCAGGTCGGATACCAAGCAATGAGTTCCACTTGCAATCCATTTGATTTAGACAAGATCAAAATGCAACGACGGGTTACTACGGCAAAGCGTTCCTTCAAATACACCAATGAATATAAGAACTTGTGTGGAAGTGATGATCGTCCTTTTCTCTTCTCATTCTCTCATTAGTGTCCAGTGTCCAATTGCTTTTGCAATTAGAAATGTGGATTCCAATTCCAAACCCTCAGCCCCCTGTGTGTGAGCTGCGGGTCAGTCAGCCTATCAAGTCAGCCATCTTGGTTCTGGCTGGCCTGGTCTGGCCAAAATTCCGGGTCTTCGGCCTCAGCCATCCATGTTTCTGTTCTAAAAGAACTCAACTTTGTTCCATCCAGCTTCATTGTCATCGTCATCCACATCAACCCACTGGAGGTGCAGAAAGCGCTGATGGTCAAGCAAAGGCTTCAACCATGATGGTGTTTGTAGAAGCTTGCATAGCCGCTGGACCACAGGCTTGCCAGCATCAGCAGCGTTAGACTCCCAAACCTTAACTGAAAAAAACAAACATGTGCATTTGAAATCAACCGAATAGTTCAACCCAGTCCAGTCCAAGAGTGAGAGTTAAGTTCAGTCCGATCCAGTTGAGTCGTTGAGTCTGGTCTGGTCCGGTCAAGTCCAGTAAGTCACAGTCACAGTCGAAGGAATAACAAACGTAACATAACATGATTTGATCTAAAATCTTAAATCTAAAAGTGATCTAAACAACAACATCCAAGAGACACCATCGGAAAGGTTGCAACTGAAGCAAAGGTTGCGCACTTTGGCACCTGGACAACATGCCCAATTCTCCAAATCCAGCCTCAAGTCCGTGTGTAGCTGGAATTGCCCTTGGACATCAAATGCCCTGTGTCGGCGTTTGGTAAGCCTGAGGAAGCCCGTGTCTCCCCTCAGTGGAATGTTCCGCTGGAACAAAGGAACTTTGTTTGACCCTTTTTTTGCCACCTTTCCCCATGGCCATGCTCAGCAGGGAGTCGTCAA